TGATTTACGACCAGGCCGTTAGCGGGGTTGGGACTTGGACCACTCGGCGTAATTGCTTCCAGATGGGGTAGATTTCCAAATTTTCCCTTGAGGAGGAATCTCATCTGGGGGCGTTCGCAGTACCCTTTCCAAAGCTCCCAACCATCTTCATTGTAACCAATTAGCGTTCGGTTTTGAGCCTGCCCTGATTGGGCAGTTTTTCCTCGCCGCCCACCCTTAAGTAAAGGTAGGGATAACCGAGGTGACCTCGTGAATGTCACACGGTTATTCGACAGTCCTCATCTGTCCATTAGACCTGATTCGTATTTAGACCTGATTTGTCTTCAGTCCTGATCTGTATTCAGTCCTGATTTGTATTTAGTCCTGATCCATCCTGAGCCGTCAGTGGTTACAGAGGTCTCCCGGGAAGCTAATTGTTGGAGCACCCGGTTAGCAAAAATAGAGTTTTAGTCGGCACACTAACGTGCAAATTTCTCAAAGCTCGAACGATCGCAAGATCGACCGCGAGCAATAACATCGCGGTATCTATTATATACAGTTTACATCACCGTCGTTGCCCGCTGACGGAACCGACGAAAATGTAAACCGATATCTTGGTATCTTTGTACTAAGTAAACTATAGATTAATTTTTGTTCGAGGCTAAAATTTCAACAATATCAAATATTATATTCGANCGATATCTTAACTGGTATCTTTGTACTAAGTAAACTATAGATTAATTTTTGTTCGAGGCTAAAATTTCAACAATATCAAATATTATATTCGATGAATATTATATTTTGGAGTGAGTGACATCAATAACTGAAATCGGCAATCACTTAGTTGCCAACCCAATAGTATCACGAAATTGTTGAATGCAGTTGGTATCAAGTCGGCATCGTACAAGTTGGTATCAAGTTTTCAACATGAATATTACATTTGACTGATTGATTGATTTGATATTATATCAAATATTATATTCGATGAATATAATATTTTGGAGTGAGTGACATCAATAACTGAAATCGGCAATTACTTAATTGTCAACCCAATAGTATCACGAAATTGTTGAATGCAGTTGGTATCAAGTCGGCATCGTACAAGTTGGTATCAAGTTTTCAACATGAATATTACATTTGACTGATTGATTGATTTGATATTATATCAAATATTATATTCGATGAATATAATATTTTGGAGTGAGTGACATCAATAACTGAAATCGGCAATTACTTAATTGTCAACCCAATAGTATCACGAAATTGTTGAATGCAGTTGGTATCAAGTCGGCATCGTACAAGTTGGTATCAAGTTTTCAACATGAATATTA